CGGGGGGGGGGGGGGGGTTGGGGTTATACGTACTACTAAGTCGTCGGATAGTTCAAAAAGGGCCTCTAAGATACCTTGTATACTTTTAAGCTAGCCGTAGTGTACTCTTCGAAATCTGTTAGCTTGGTAAAAAGCAAAATAATACTATATATCATTCTCTTCTAAAACATGCGCTCTTCTTTCTAGAGTAGATAAAACATCATTTACTCTAAAATATCCAATAGTCTAGAATAATTGAAGTTAGGTTTACGAGATCAAGGCACCATTATTTTTCTTACGAAAGAATGGATAAGTAAAACAGTAATTAGATTAAGTAATATAATAGTTATCTAGCTTAATTGTTTATCTTTGTCTGAGTTATATCTGCTTTGTAAGTTAAGCGATAAGTGTATTGAAATGCAACATTACAATCCCTGCCTCAAATGCGATGTTGAACTTCTTGTTCGAGATATAACATCATACTCGTTTAAATGCATGTCTATCGCTTACCCCGTATATAACGCACTACCGGTAGGCAGAACGCTTAGCAGGGTTTGACCTGTAACATCCTGCCAATTTGATTGCGGAGAGTACAAAGGCTAAACCAAATCAAGCGCTCTGCCTACCAGTTGTATCAGTTACAAAGTAAGGGATATACACTCTACAATCACTGCTCAAAATGATCGCGAGAAGATACGAAACCTTGAGTATCTCGTAAGGCGACACCGAGATGACTTTCTTTAAGGCTAGCCAATGCCCTTTTCTGCTGAATGACGTCCGCTTGTCCAGTCACTGGTACCCATGTCATTGACCTCTGATTCTGTGCGCCATATTCTAGGCTTCAAAGGATGACCGGGTTCCAGACGCAGTAGGTGGATGGAACTTGGGACAGGGGAGTGGTTATGTGTACTATTAAGCAAATTCTCAGCGTCCTTCGGGACAAGTTGGGCCAATGGTTATCAATACAAGAAGTTATCCACATATCTTTCTGACGCAGCACGTCACTCTGATTACCGGTCCGGATGTATAGAAAGGGATTTTTGCCAAGAAAAGAGTTACCCTTTTTCTGAAAGCTATTGACGTAGGTTTCATTCTTGGAAGAATGGTAGAAACCAAATCTAGGCTCGGATGCGTCATCAACTTGATCCTCAACGATCCATGTCAGTTGGCGATCTATGTATAGATCTGACAGTACTTTGGCAAGTCAAGTATTCCCCGCGATGGTGAGAGTTGCATTTGAGGTCTTAGATCAAAAAAATCAAAGGTGAATAGGGAGGTGGAAGAAGCTCGCACTGAGACGCTTCTTTTCAAGTGGAATCGAGTGATAATCTTCGCCAGGTTTTAAGAAGCTCACTGTAAACATTTATCACATCTGTCGAGACTTGAGACCAGACGGGGATTCTATAACACAAACATGCTGAATAAACCAGCGCTAATGCATATGCTTTCATTCCGCTTAATGACCCATGACTTTCATTTATTTCGACTTAGGCACCGTTTCCAGTCATTTGGGTATGAAGACCAGGTTCTTTTAGTAACTAGTTATGTGGTGGGAAGCGAAGTTAAAGTGAGGCATGTGCGCAAGGTATCTGTATTGAAGCTCGTGGATTGAATTAGAAAAGACTTCCTACCAAGCTGAGTTAAGCGAGTAGCTATTGTGACCAGCCAACCGAGCCAGCCAGCTTCCTTACTGGAATTGTTGTCTGCATAAAAGGGAGATTAATCACATGCTGCCGCATTATAGTCGCGATTAGTGGCAGTCAATTGTTATACCTTGGCAAGTGAAAGTGACCGCAGATCTAGATATCCGAAGTCAGTAACAGATGCTTTGACTTAGTTCTCTAAGCTCGAGAGCTACTTCATCAGCCTGTTGCAAAATATTGATTATTCGCATCTGGATTAACACTCCTTGTTTTGCGCCTTCGAGTGCGACGAAATAGAGTGAACAATTCCTCTTACAGCTTCTTTTTACAAGCCACGGGCCACTTTGAATTTTTAGACTTACAAAAACAATGTTTAATGCCCGCAATGAAAAATCGGGAAGTTATTTCATAAACAAAATATGAGGTTTTCGTAAATGGGCTGAACCGAGTCTTGTAGCTTGAAAGAAGCGAGATAGGGGTCGAACTTGGCGATGACGAATTTTCATACAGTGATGACTTTGGAATCAATTTGTACCATAATTAAGATATCTATAAACCTATGATGATACATCATTTGAAAAAATTTCGAGTCATTATTTGTACCACACATACCAATTTGTGAGAAGAGGTTGAATACCCACTCCAACCCCACAATTTCAGCGCCACGTGTGACACCTTAAATCTAAGGCATCAACACAGCTCTCAAAAAGCATCATCGATATCATCGCATCTTTCGAAACTCCACCAATTCCACCACAACCCAAGGTCTTTACAATCACAATTAGCCATGGGTTCTTCAACCTCGAAAGTCGCATCCTCGATCGTAAGAACAGTCTCGCAAGCCGCTTCAACCTCAAAAAATACCGCAGCGCGAAAATACCCCACCAGAATCCCAGAAACTCCATCTTCAACTGGATCAAGGATACGGATGCCGAAATCTGCAGATGAGCATGGAGCGCATGATCCAGGTAAACCCCAATAATCAAGAAAACCAAATCAATTTTACCAAGAGCATACAGCCTAACAAAAAACCCCAGGAATAACCCAAACCCTGTCCCAATCCGCCTCCCTCAACGCCCGCCTCCAATCCCTCGGCCCCGTCACCCCAAACCCAACCTTCTCCCCCTCATCCACATTCTCCAACGCCCCTCTCTTACGACACTCCCACCAATCCCCCACCCAGAACTCAACACGCAATTCCCCTCCCCACAATTTCACACCCTCTTCCTCCTCGCCGGAGCAGAGCATCTTCCCATCCGCGACACAGAACCCTGCGGTTAGTCTGTTGACGGCGAGATATAGACTGGCGGAGGAAGCGGAGAGGGAATTTGAGGGCTTGGGGAAGAGGGGGAGTCAGGGGAGGAGATTCTTGGATGTTGTTGTTATTAGGCAGATTTTGATGCTGAGGGCGAAGGGGATGAGGGACGAGGGGATTGAGGAGGTGCTTGAGTTGAGGAGGGGGGTTGTGAAGATGTTAGGGGGGAAGGGGGTCTTTGGTGCTGCTGATTAGGGATGATTTCGAAAGCGCAGACAGTGGAATAAGCTTGAAGAAAGAGGGTGGATTCATTAGTGAGTGTATAGTATGACTGGCATGGATGGGGCATTTCGAAACTGGGTGGAGTTATCGGACGAATATGGTATGGGTTTTGGATTATAGTGGTGGATGCTACTTCAAAATACAATCTGGAACCATTACATATTACGGAACAACAAGCACAACCACGCCCTACCAAACTACCCGAACTACCATGCGGAATGCCCCCCATCCATCCTCAAATCACTTCCTGTCATGAAGCTACTGGCATCTGAGATCAGAAATGCTGCCGCACCCCGATACTCTTCAGGCCTACTCAATCTACCCAACATATTCTGTTTTGGCCAATCCACTCTCCTTTCGGGATACTTCTCAAATAAAGCTTCAACCATAGCTGTGACGATATACCCCGGGGATATGGTATTGACCCGAATTCCATACTCGCCCCATTCGGATGCCAGATTTCGAGCGAGTTGAACGACAGCTGCTTTGGAGGCATTGTAGGCTGGACATATCAGGCCCTATCGGGGAGTTGTCAGGAAGTGTTGAAAAAGAGCAGGACACGTCAAATGGAAAGGGAAGAAATACCCTATTAGCAACAGTCCCACTCATACTAGCAATCAAAACCACACTCCCTCCCTCTCCCCATCTCACCATTTCTCTCGCAACTGCCTGCGCAGTCATGAAAACACCAGTGACATTGACACTCATCATCTTATCGCAGTCCTCTGATGTATATTTCAACGCTGGCGTTTCCTGCTGAATACCTGCAGCTGCTATGAGACCGTCCATCCGTCCATGTTGTGTTGATATCGACTCAACGATATTATTCAGTGCAGGCACATCGCGGACATCGACGTGGTGGTATGTCAGTGTAGTCCCGAGACTCAGGGCGCGCTTTTGGATATCGAAGAATGCGGGGGAAGGCGTGGGTAGTCGATCCAGGGCGTGGACTGGATCTCGTTAGCTCCTTGTATATTTACCGAATGAGTTGGGACAAGTGTGAAATGGCACACCAATTGCTCCGGCTTCTAGCAATGCTTCTGCTTGTACTAGTCCCAATCCTCGTGCTGCGCCGGATACTATCACTACCTTCCCATCCAAGTTGAATTCTGGGAGTCGAGAGGCACTTCCTGGGACAGCTTTTTGAGGCGGAGATGATTTGGATGCTGGGGGTGGTGTCACGGAGTAGAGCGGTTTTATGGAGGAGAATGAGCGGGAATTGGTTTGTTTTGCTGGGATTAGTTGTCTTGTTGGAGGGCGGAGGGTGAGCAGTGCTCGTGTTAGAGCACGGTTGAGGGGTGGCATTTTGATGTTGCGAGCTTTGTAGTTATGAACGTTGGTGGTGTTGTAATTTTATATCCTGGGTGGATTTTCAATTTTTCTAGATGCTGATAGCTTCTAGGTCATGCGCTGGCTTTTATTGGACAACGAGGAGAGCTCGAGGTGTCTGTTTGAAGCTGTACATGTGTGAGTACGTGCTACCCTGGGCTGAAATGCGGGGTTAAGGTTGTTGTTGTACAGTACGGAGCTGGAATTGAGTTTCCACTCGGGGCTTGTTCCGAGCTGTCTCGAGGCTGTTAAAGACTTGATTAGAAAATGTACCTCGAAGTTCCGATTATTGTACGGTTGTGAATTAAAGAGAAAAAACCGACTTGAGTAAATAGAAAGAGGAATACCCCATGGGGTAGAGAGTGAAGCTTTCCCCGCATAAGTACCACACTGTACTCCACATTTGTAGGAGGACCCGCCACTGACGTGGGTTGGTACTTGGCTTGCCGGAAATAATCTTCCGCCTTTTTTGACGTCTTCGCAACACCTTTATGGACATTTTCGACGGTGTTGCAAACCATCATACTATTCAGCACTACTACAATACCCAGTTTTCGGTATGTTATAAGTCTAAATCAAATGCCGATTATGATGATTTATCTCGATGTGTTCTACGGTCCCGAGTTAATTTGCAAATGGAGATGTATAATGTGCATGAATAGCAAATGCTCTGTTGTTTCTCAAGTTGCTGCTAACGAAGAGTTTATTACTGTAGTATATTTTCCAAAAAAGAAAAAAAGAAATCTTATGCTACTAAGAAATTATTTCCGTCATGATGGCGGGTAAACCACATTTTGATTTTGTGATTGTCACCTTCCTGATCGATTTCCAACAGTCAAGCAACGAGTTGGAATTTATGGAGTTGAACAGGAGGATTAAGTTACACAGATCCTATCACCCAGACGTGATCAAGCACTCTCTTACGCGAACAAGTCGTTAAAGGAGAGACTGTTTTTCCGGCGCCCATCCAGTCAATCATAAGCCTAAAAAGGCCTCAGTTCATCTGGTTATTATACCTCTGCAGCCTGAGAGGGCGTAGGAATATTTTGCTATTTATTTGGCTTAGAAGTTAATTTTTCATCTCAGTTTGTAACAGACTTCTAGTGTTTTGTTTTGTTTACTATTTCTGGAAGCGAGAGCAAGCCTATGTGTCAGGCTTCTACGTGGCGAGATCCATCCCAAAAAGCTTTCTTTTTGGACTCCTCGTACGTCTTTACGTGAACCTGAATTGACTTCCAACAGCCTACCTTTCCTCCTACCCAGGCAGAGATTGCCAGTAAGTCCAGATCCAAATAGGACGGGAAGCAGTGTTTTGGAGTAGCACGTGCTTAACCCGAACCCTCGTTCCCGTCGGGTCGCTCCTTCTTCAGGAAACGAGGACATCTGGGAATTGTCCCTCGATCTCGAAATTCGCAAATCTCTCATCTCACAAGCCCCATTCAATTTCACGCTCCACCTTTGTCGGCTCCCGACGACGTGCCCAACAGAACATTCCATGATTCCACACATCTCATTCGACATTTGAAGAACTCATCAACATCAGATCCGGTCCTGGCTTGCACGAATCTATGATGGCCGACCTACCAGGCGACCCAGAGTCCGATCTGGGAGTGATATCGGTGTCAAGCCTCTCGTCTACTAATCCAGACAGTCTGCACGTATTTGTCCTCTTGCCGAATGGACGCAAACTTGTCATTTCGTTATCTCGAAACGCAACTATTCATGACCTCCAAGTGGAAACTTTACGACGAGGCGAAAAGTATGGCGTGACTGCAACCTTGAGTGAAACGACTCTGGAAAGTACCGGCTTTGACAAGATTACTTTCTATGACGGGGAGGATCTGGTGGCTGATATTCTCGATCTTACTGAAGGTTCTACGTTTACTTTAGGTAAGTTGGCTCCTACATTTTGTTTTCCTCACTAGCCTCTTTTGGTAGTTGTATCATTCTTATTGTCATTGGAGGTACTCGTTCTCCACCCTTTTCGGGATCTTTAATGTCGCAAGTCTAACGATTTTGATATAGAGATACTTACTCCACAAGATACAATCTCTGTACCTCCAAGTCTCGACCAAGCTGTGCCAATCCAAGATAAGGGGATATTCGTGAGGTGGATCACACTTGAACTTGCAATCACCAACTGCTCTCTTTCGAATATTCCAATCGATGGTACACCCTTTCTCATTGACACAACACTCAATGACTTCTATCGCCACGCTTTGAGTCGCCATTCTGCCCCTGGTATTAAGCTCTTTCTCGGAGAATGCTTTCTGCACACAGAAAGTAACCAATTAACCCTGGCGAGCCTGGAGATTGACACAACAAAGCCACTCAATGTGTTTGTGGAGGTTGTTGATCAACAACCTCGAAATGGGATCATTGCAAAAGCCATTGACCCAAAGGAGACCTGGGAATTCAAATCGACCAAACGCGGCTTTTCTAAATTCGTCACGAGTATTCAAATGCTTGTCAATGAAATTAAAAGTGGTCGTTGCAATATGGACAGCATTCTAGATGTGCTTCTAGAACTCACCCATTTTCCTCCTCTAATCTTAGCTTTCAAGGCTGTCTACGAAGCTACTCGTTACGGCATACATCGTGCACCTGTTGGTCCACTTCTCTTAATTGCAACAGCCATGCAGTTGTTGTGTCATCGAATCGTTCCAGAGAGTTTTCTTTCTGGGATGGATAGCGCATTGGAAGCCTCTCGTCAAATTCTGTTTTGGATTTATTCAAAGCGATCTGAAACAACTATATCTCAAGGCAGATACCAATCACTTTTGCGCTCCGTTGAGATTGTTGAAAAGCCTGTCATTGTCCCTGGATATGAGGGACTTCTACCACCGCCAAAGTTCGGTCCTTTCACTGAAGTCGTCATATCGCCCACCACGACTTACTTGGTTAGCATACCAGATAACAACGAAGGTTTGAGTCGACGACTCGGTTTCGCTTCAAGTGGATTGGAATCAAAGACAAGCTTTTATTTTCACCCACCTGAAAGTTGGCAAAATCTGTTAGGCCATGAAAGAATGCCGCACAGAAAGTTTGACGAAAAAGAATTCAGATCCTTGATCGAGCAGACAAATCTGAAGCACCCATTTCGTATGGTCGGACCCCTCCAACCTGGTCGCTGTCTCGCTGCTGAGCTTCCAGTGATCACATTGAGCGCCAAGGGATACGTTTGCAGCTATGAACAAGAAGACGGCTCCTGTGGCGAGAGGGTTTCTTTCACCTGGAGTGTATATGAAGGAAGATCGATGCTTCCAGATAACGGTGGCGGCGAATTCTTATCTCAGAAACTTGAGCCCATCATTCAAGAACGCAAGCAACACCAAAACTGGAAGTTGGAAGCCTGGTCAGAATGGACTAGGATAGCAAACTTTGGGCCTCCTAACGAAGCAATTGTAATTTGTGTCGACAACAGCTTGAGCATGAGAACAACAATTCCTCCAGGGTGGACCAGATATAGGAGCTCCTTAGGTGCAGAGCCATCCCGGCTTGATGAGGTCAAGGACTTTTTCAAGAATCTAGCCTTTCGCATCTCCTCCCTCGATTTGCCAACATATTTGGGGCTTGTAACATTTTCCAGCTATACAAAAACATTGCAAGCACTATCCCCTGTCGTTCTTAACTTCAACGAAAGTCTTGATGAGGTGAAACCAGGCGGCAGTACTGCCATTTTCGACGCCCTTGCATCGGCTTACACAATGTTGGCTGAATTCCTTCTTCAACATCCTACGAAAAAGTGTCGCATCATTCTCCTTACCGATGGTGAAGATACCCGCTCAGTTGCGAAGCATGCTAGCTTGGCTAGAGATCTCTACAACAAGAATATAGTCTTAGATACGATTGTAGTAGGTACCAACAAAACAACCGAGCTCTTCAAGATTTCGGCACATACTGGAGGGTATGCGTTTGCTCCATTCACAAGACAAATGCTTTACCAAATTTTCCTTTTGGAGACAATGGTAGATATACGCACACGCCCCGATAGTGCTCGAATGAAATTAGAGAACTGGGAATCTTTCAGACCCAAATTGCCGGATATGACTTCTCTTTACAATTTCCCTCCTTGCAAACCCCACGAAAATATGAACGATGAGTTCTTCCTTCTTGACGAAGCTGAACGAAGAATCGCAAACTTGGACCTGGAGGCATGAGCCCGCTCAGTTTCTGCAAGATATGGCCTTTTTGGTGATCCACGAAGTGAACGTATAATGGCGCGCCAGCTGCTACAGGGAATCCCCGCAGCTTCGAATCCGGACGCATCAGCCCGCTCGATTTTTGCGAGATATAACAATTCCACTACTCCAGGAGGTTCTCGTAGATTGGCAAGCCAGTTATTGGACGAAATCAAAGCAATGCGCCAACATCACCACCCAATGATGGATGTCTACGTAAGTCAGACAAACATGGCATTCTGGAAAGTTGTCAGTAATTTCTCAATCTCGATTTCGCTCCGTGTCTAACTTTAGATAGGTCATGCAAGGACCGCCAGACTCGCCCTATTCACGAGGAACCTTTCTGCTATGGATAGAAATTGGTGAAGATTTTCCTCGACGTCCGCCCACTGCAAGGTTCGTTACATCTATGCTTCACCCAAACATTACAAAGGTAAGTGATTCCTCACACACAGTAACTCGCGGACCAATTGGGCTAACACAATACAGCACGGACGAATCTGTCATCCTATATTCTCCCGAGAATGGACTCCTACATTACGAATTCATCAAGTCTTGGAACACTGTTATGGCATTCTGATCCTTCTTGAAGTGAGGAGAAAGATTCAATGAAATCTAAAGGTTAATACTGACTGTGTGGTAGGCTCGTGATGCGATTGATCCGCTTTCTGCTCTTACTTTCTGGTCGAAAGCAGAAGAAGGAAAACGAGAGGTGGAGAGATATGTAAGTTCAATTGGGACGTGGTTGATTTGGTTTGTGGAGAAACTCACCAAAAGTGAATGAACAGGTGGTACATCTTGCTTCTCGTTCGCGGGCACAGCACAAGAATGATATCTTGCGGATTAGCACACCACCTATCTTGACGAAGACTGAGCTACCGTTTCTCCCAGTTGCTCGAACTGGATAGGTAATTATCCTTGATGCGCGTCATATTTTGAGGACCCTTGGAACAGTTACTGTTTTGTCGCTTTTGAACCGCTGTACAGCAAGGCCCGCACATATGGAATATGTAATTTAAACTATTCGGACTTCCCATGAATATTATCGCATTATCCCTTTTGAAGTGAAGTGCATGTTTGCATCGTTGATCAAATACGTTTCATTCCCCTCGTGTCTTTAGCTACCAACGACCTATATACACCAACCTTAACTAGTAAAATTACATTACAACTCTTCCTCATCCTCAAAAACCTCAATTCCATCTACCGTCGCTTCGAATCCTTTTCAATGAAGTGATTAGCATCATATGCATCAAATTCCAAATCAGGGAGCGTAAGACCATACCAGAACCTTCAACTCCAAACTTTATAATATTCTCACTTCCCCTTTCAAGATGGATCTCCACGGGAACTGTATTATGGAACCCAGCCCTCAAATTCAAAGCCGAGATATTGGTTGGTCTCGTTTCCTCGTTGACCATGATAAACGCATCGCCAGCTGAATCATACGGATCAGTAAGAACTCTCTTGGCAAAAAGGGAGCAGTCATCTGGGCATACCTTCTTGGCTATTCACGGTATAATGGAAAGACACCCATTGTTTCTTGCCCGTGCCAGTGATATTTCGGAATACGAGTCCACTACTAGAATCGACTATTTCGGGGTGATTAGTGATAAAGCCAGGTTTTAAAGCAGGTCAAACCAACCTCGATGGACGGAGCGTTTTCTTGCTACCGAATTCCCGCTTCTTTCTGCATCCAAAGCGGCATATCTTTTTCCAGCTGCAGGGAAAGAAACCACACCGGTCTTGACATCCACTTTCCACATAGCATGGTAGTCCAAAGTCAAAGTCTTTGCGCTGAAGAACGAACATCAGCTTTTCTCTCTACTCCTAGAATCGAGAATTGAAGTGCTCGGAGCTAGAGGTACAAAACATACCCAGAATTAACCTTAATCGGAAGCCACATATGAGTGCTATCCGGACCACCCTTTGAATCCCAACTATCACCCATGTAAATATACGTCGTCGTCTTACTTCCGGCAATAGTCAACTCAAAGGTATTTTGGCTATTGTAGGTTTTTTCTGCTTCCGGCGCGATATTAGAGCCTCCTTCCCAGGGGCCGTTAATCGAAGAAGATGTGAAGACTGTGGAATTGCGAAGTTAGATCAAAATGGCGGCAAGAGATACTATGTAAGAAACACTCGAACCTTTGTTTGGATTACTCCTCCATCCCGTCTTTCCGCTCACGATTAGATAATAGGTACCATCCACCTTTAAGATACCTGGGGCTTCATATGCGCCAGCAGCTTAATTCGCATCAGTGTTTGGTCTAGATTGCAAGAGGACGATACTCACCGAGTTTGCTGGCCCTATCACCAACACTACCATCTGAATTAAGAATGTTGATCGATACAGTATTGTGATCCGCACTTGTAATAATATACCAAGCCAGATCTGTGTCTCTGAACATCCCAGTATCAGAGTATGTGAGATCGTTTGGTGGAACAGAAACCGCTGCTCCATGAAGTTTGTAATTTCCTACCATCGTGGTGGATACCATTGATTGGATGTGGCGGTCCAGCTGTCCATAAAGCTATGATGTGGCATGAGTTTAAAACACAGGACTAATCTTGGTATTATGGGATATCTGATAGAAGGAAAAACTCCTACCCAGAAACTTCCATTTGGCTTGGCAATTTTGGGTCTCCAAAGATATTGAACGTCGTTTTGTTTACCGAGGGGGGTCCAGTTTAGGAGGTCGGTGCTGGAGTACATGAACGCTTGCTCGTCTATTTGATAATGTCAGTAAAATTCCTGTTTTTATACGTCAAAGTTCGATGCCATTCAGTTATGCTTTTAGTCGCAACAGGGGATAATGAAGATTGAACATACTATTACTAGCACTCTGACCAACCCAAAAGAAAGTATCTCCCCTCTGTACAATATTCCCACCATGCGCATCGATCCTCGCACCACTGGTGTCCGTCCATATAGCACCAGGTACAATCCAAGTAGCCGCATTAGCAGTATAAGCGAGAATCGCTAGCGCGATACCTTGAGTGAACTTCATTTTAACAATAAAACTAATGATCATCCAAAGAGTCGCAACCTAGAAGAGAAAAGGAGAAGACGTTATATTCAAAGTGGCAAAAACAATCTTATTAAGGATAATAAACTCACCCAAGCACAAAATAGTTGAATCCAATAGGATTGTGGGGAAAGCCTACAGTATGGGTGTGGATCCACGGGGTTCCCTACATAGCCGAGAAATCGTATTCAGCCTCATGAATCTTCACCCAAAGAGGCAGGATAGAACATCGTTTCCATCAATCACACCGCCAATCATATCTACCGACGTGAAATGCGGGGTCGGAATATTTTATTTACTGCTGCTATGGATCCATTGTGATATCTCAGACCCAAGGTTTGCGGGGATGGTGGGGATATGGGGTAAACCTTGTTTGGAAGATGTCATTTACGAACGCCTTGTGACAAGATAGTGAGGAGTTTTTGATGAGTTGTTGATATAATAGGTGAACACGTGGGGGGAAGTACTTGGTCCTATTTGTGGCATAATTGCAGTTTGGTTCCTGGAACGAGTAGTCGTCCTTGAAAAGTGAGTGAGTCTGTTGCATTTTGTGAGTACTGTAAGGTAAGCAAAGAAACTAGTTTGTGAATAGGATGTCATTGTATCCACTGTGCCATCCACTGTTCCGAAGGACATCCAGAATCTTGCTTAATTCACTTATAACCACCTCTCCGCTCTGAATTTGACCCTTCGACCACGCCATGAAGTATGCAAGGAACCTCTCCACTGAACCTCTCTCATGAGTGTCTTCCCACAAGGATTATACTTTCATCTGAGCTGTATTTAGTGGTTTTTGAAGGCCCTCTCGCACCACGACGATAAATAGGCAGCACATCCCAGTCCACCATGATTTTTACTCCTGCTGTTAGCTGTCAGGCTTAATTAATAGCCTTATTCTCTGTTTCTTCAGATTACAGTGACTTATGATGTCATATTTACTTCCCTCCATGGGAAAGAGAAACTCCTTACAAGGTTCACATTAGCAAACTTTCAAAAGAAGAGGAAACTAAACTTCACCTTCGTCTACTCCAAAACAACTCAGATAACAGCATTTTCATCTACACAGATGCATCCTCTACAACAACAGAAAATAGCCAAGGAATTGGGGTAGGTTTGTCTGTAATCTCACCTCAATCAAACAGAATCCACTACGAAAAGAAAGTCAACATTGGACCAAACAAGCTCGTCTACAACGGTGAAGTTGAAGGGGCCACGCTAGCAGTTGAATACGCTGCCAAGCACGCTAGACCAGGGATCCATTTCCACATCTACTCCGACAACCAGGCAGGTTTACGGAGGCTAAAAAC